CACCCAATCTATCTGTCTCTCCTCTCGCTCTCGCTTTTTCGGGCCACACGCTCCCTCCCACAAATAAAGTTCTCACGGGTTCCTACGTACGCGACTTGCGTATATCTTTCTCTCGTGGGCGTGTTGGTGTGTTGAGTGCATACCTACACATGATGATAGCACACGCAGGTGTAGGCAGGCAGGCAGGCAGGCAGGTGTGTTTTGGCAAGACAAAGACCGCCTTCCCGAAAAATGGCCTCATGGCCGAGCATCTCCCTGCCTCCCTGCGTACCAGCCTGCCTGCCTGTAGGTCTGTCTGTATCCCGCCTCCCTCCCTGTCTGTCCGTTTGTCCGTCCGTCTGTGGGTCCGTCCGTCCGTCCATTTGTGTGGGCGAATTTTCCCTCTCGAACAAAGCATCGATCGATGACATACATACATGATGGATGGTGTGACCCACCCCACCTCGCCCCACCCCACCCCACCCCCGTGATGCCCGTCTGCCTGGCCGCCAGTGTGTCTGTCTGCCTGCCTGCCCACCGCATGTGAAAGAGATGTGGTGAGTCCGTCACCATACTGCCTGCCCGCCCTTACCCCCCTCGCCCCCTGTCCCTCTGTCTGCCACATGTTTTCCGGTTCTGTTTTGTGTTGTGTTGTGTTGTGTTGTGGTGTATTCTGCTGTGTTCACTGCGCAAGTCCGTGCTGCGCGGGTCGTGTACAGAACAGAGAGATACCCATCCACCAAGGCAGGCAGGCAGGGAGGGAGCCACGGAGCTAGCGGACACGACAACGGTTTTTTCATCCGTCACACCCACACCACACCACATTCCACCCACTCGCTAGGCTGGTCGGTCGGTCGGCTGTGTTGTATGGTCGTTCTAGGCTGTCCACAGTAGGCCAGCCACTCACGCACACGCACACGCAACGATTCTCACACACACGCGCGCGGACGCACCAACAAACCCACACACACTCGCTCACACAACGCTCTCTCGTCTCGTCTCGTCCGCGTCATGTCGATAAGCACACACTGGCCGGCTGTTTGGTCGGTCGCTCGGTCGGTCGTTGGGTGTTGTGATTAGCAATATGACGTGCATGCGTACACACATACATACATACATACGCGGACACTTGCGTGGTGTGCATGGTGCACGGTGCATGCTGCATGAGAGGGGGGACACACACACACACAGGGGGGGCCCACTCACTGACACACAGACCGAGATCACTCACTACACTAAAGCTGCTACGGACCAACACACGAACACACGAACGGACGGATGCGGAGGGAGGGAAGGAGGAGGGCCGCGTGGGCATTGCCCCCGTGTTTAGCTTAGCTAGCTGTCGATGCGACTCAACCAGCACAGTGCATACGAGAGAGAGAGAGAGAGAGAGAGACAGAGAGAGAGGCAGAGAGGGTTTAGGAGAGAGCACATACATACATACATACATTCAACGAGAGAGGAGGGGAGAGGCGAGGTGAGGGGTCTTTTGCTGCTGCTGCTGCTGCTGGTGCTACCCTGCTGGTGCCTGCTACTTTGCTGCTGTGATGGCTGTACTCTACCTACTAACTTACTGCCTACTGCCTACGACCTACGTTCAACCTGTCTGTCTGTCCAGCTAGAATGAAGGACAGAGAGGCGAGGCGAGGCCACCACAACCGCCGCCAGAGAGAAGCGTGCGATAGAAACCTACACAAAGAGAGATAGAGACGCGCAGACAGACCAAGTCCAGAGGGGGCGCGGCGCAGCGCAGCGCAGCACAGACCAACCAACGAACGATCCATTTTTCAGCTTCTCTTCTTGGCGGCCGGCCCATTCATTCACTCGCCACACACACGCGCCAGTCAACTGACAGATAGCCTGAATGACAGACAGCGACGGATCCATCTATCATCGATGCCATGACTCCTCTCTCTCACTATCTTACTGACTGACCCCCTTGCTTGCCTTGCGTGTGGTGTTTGTTTGCCTGCCATGGTGTCTGTCTGTGCTAGTTAGTGGTGTAAATGCGTCCATCGATGGAGTGGATGGATGTGATGTGATGTGATGTGATGTGATGCGATGTGACGTGATGTGCACATGGGGCGCCGCACACAACGGGATGTGATCTGATGAATGAATGACAGGTGGAGCGGCGCGGCTGACATCGACAAGGCAGGGTCGAGCGGCGTGGGCGGGCATACGGACGTACTTGGCCAAGTACAGACTGACTGGCTGTAGGATTCGCACACCACGGGCAGGCAGTATTGCTAGCGTGGTGACTGGGGGGGTGGATGGAGGGAGGGAGGGAGGGAGCGGCGGGTGCATCATATGATGTGACACAAGCATGATGACGCGCCGTGGTGTGAGGGGAGTGGACGGAGGGTGCGGGGTGGGGGGCAATTCATAATG